GATTTAAACAGCTCTCACCATTTCCCTCCTCCAACACTGAGAATTGCAATTCAACATGAGATTTGGATGGGGACACACAACCAAACTATGTCACTCCCATTGATGGACTCAGTGGATACCTAAAAAGTATCCAGTAAAGTTACTCCAGTATGTTTGATGTGCTTTATGTTTTATATTGAGTTTTGACATACATTTATCACATACAATTTTCAAAATAACAACTCTTTATTTACATGAATTCACAATTAAGGGAACCATATTTTTTTTCTTTGTCTGGCCATTGACAAGAAGCTGAAGAACCAGAATTGAGACTCAAGTTTTTATCTGCCTTCAGAGGCTCTGCAGTTTTCATTACATTATCTTAACAAATTATTCTATCCAGTAGTCCCAAAAGTACTTTAAAGTACTAAGAGAAATAAAATAATAATGACAGGTTGTTAAACTTCATTGTATTAGAAAATAGAAATATACTAGCATTCAAATATTGTCAATAGGGACAACACTGGACAATCAATAAAAGTATTCATCTGAAGAATCACTAGGGATTATGGGAATTCTGCCAATCTGTTACTAAATCTTAATTTTTAGAATTCAAAATGTTAAGATAGGACCAAAAATGTTAATTACAGTGCATGTATGTATCAATTATATACATATGCATGTTGTACACTATCATATAGAGTAGGGTGATATTTTGATATTAATCAAGTTGTTTTGGAAATTCCAAACTTTCTTTATTGCCACAGATTTTTTTCATTTTCATTAGTTCAAAGGTATTTCTAAAAGGGTCCAGCCAAGATACTATACACTTGGCTTTTAAAGACAGAAAGATTGGGGAAGAAAACATGGTTCCTCAGACCAGGTAAAAAGAGATTTTGGAGGCTAATCAAGGATTAGAGATAGGATGGTTTGTATTTAGATTAGAATGTACCACTCTCCCAGGCATTTCAGCTCTTGGGATTTGGAGAATTGAGAATAGAGTGAGTTTTCATTTCATTCCTTGAGTGATGTTTGGGAAGACAGAAAGAAAGCTTTATAGAAAGTTATTTCACACTATTTGGCACGGTAAAGAGTAGGGTAGAAATTGCAGAGTCATGTCCATCTGGAACACTGTGTGAAGCAAGATTTTTAATGCACCCTCCACAACAGAAGAGTAGGGTTAGTAAATAAAGCAAATGGGAATGTGAAAGGCAGCTGACAGTGATTTTAATGGAATGGGGATACATTTCAATGAATTCCAGTACAGTACTGCCACAGACTTTATGTCATCCAAATCCTCTCCAAATGGTTGGGATACTACTAGAGGAAGAAGACTGTAACCTGGAAGAAAGTAAGAGGTTCAAAAGAAGACAATACTAAATTGACTTGCTTTATTAGAGATAGTCTTATTGAAATAAAATTTACATGCCACAAAATGCCTGTATAAATGTACAATTCAATGACATTTAGTAAATAATGGAGCTGTGAAATCATGTTCATAATCTAGTTTTAGAACATTTTCTTCATATCCAAAAGTTATTTTGTACCTCATTATAGTCAATTCCCATTCTAACCTTCTCCAGGCAATGACTAAGCTGTTTATCTATAGATTCTCCTTAAAAAAAAATCATCTAAGTGGAATGATACAGTATGTTGTCTTTTGCATCTGGATATTCTCCATTAGCATAATTTTTCAGTTTCATTCATATTGTAAATGCACTAGTACTTCATTTTTATTGCTGAATAGTATTCATTATGTAGATATAATGTTTCATTTACCCATTCACCAGATGATGGACGTTTGGACTGTTTCCAGTTGCTGTGTATTAAGAATAGCATTGCTAAGAACATTCGTATACAATTACTTACATGGACATATGTTTTTTCTCTTAAATAGATACCTAGGAGTGCAATTTCTGATTGAAATGGTATGTTTATACTTGACTTTTTCAGAAATCACTAAACCATTTTCCAAGTTGTCTGTACTATTGTATGTTTTACCAGCAATGTATGAGGCTTCTAGTTTCTCCATATCTTTGTTAACACTTACTGTTGACAATAACTTTGATACATTAATTATAGCTTTTCTAGTAGGTATATAGTGATATCTCATAATGGTTTTAATTTACATTCTAATAATGTAAACATATGAGATATGTTGACTATCTTTATGTGTGCCTACTAGCTATCCTTTTAATATGCTGTTGGGTTCAGTTTGCTAACATTTTCTCATGGTATTTTTCTGCATCTATATTCATGAAATATATTTATCTGCTGCTTTTTTGTGGCATCTTTTTCTAGCTTTGGTATCAGATATTTCTGGCTTAAAGAATGAATTGTGAAGTGTTCATCCCTCTATATTTTTGAAAAGTGTTTGTGTAGGGTTGATAATATTCTCTCTTTAGGTATTTGATGGAATTCATGGTTGAAATCATTTGGGTCTTGGCTTTTCTTTGTGGAAAAACTTTTAATTGCCAATTCTATTTCTTACTTGTTATGGTGGGTGCATGTATATTATCTGCTTCTTCTTTAGTCATTTTGGGGATTAATGTCTTTTTATGGCATTGTCCATTTCATCAAAGTTGTTAAATCTGTTGGTTTTTAGTTGTTCATAACATTCCCTTATATTTTAATTTCTGGATAGTCCGTATCAATGTTCCTTCTTTTATTCCCAATTTTGATGATTTGTGGTTTCTCTTTCTCTCTCTCTCAACCAGTCTAGCTAAAGATTTTACAATATTATGATCTTTTAAAAAAAAATACAATGTTTTTTTGGTTCTCTATTTTATTGTTTTCTGCTCTGATTTTTATTATTCTCTCCCTTCTGCTTATTTTTGTATTTAATTTGCTCTTTTTTTCTCGTTTCTTAGCAAGGAAGTATAAACTATTGGGTTATAATTTTTTCCTCTTTTCTAAAACAGGTATTTAAAACTATAAATTTCTCTCTGAGAATTGATTTACCTCCATCTCATACTTTTGATGTGCTGTAGTATGTTGTTTCTGTTTTCATTCAGTTCAAAATACTTTCTAATTTCCCTTGTGATTTCTTTTTAAACCATCTGTGATTTAACTTCCAAATATTTGGAGATTTTTTAAATGTAATTATTGGTGTACCTTTCTAATTATATTCCATTTTTACAGTAGTTTATACATTAAATGATTTATAATACTTTACAACATGTTAAGATTTGTTTTATGTCCTATATTATTTGGTCTACTCTGGTGAATGTTCTATGTGTACTTAAAAGAAAGATTATTTTGCTGTTTTTGGGAGGAGTGTTTTGTAAATATCAATTAAGTCAAGTTGGTTGATATTATCCAAGTCTTTATCCATAATGACTTTCCATGTTGTTGTTATATCAATTATTGTGAAGGAGATATTGAAGTATCTAACAGCAATTGCTGAAATGTCTATTTATCTTTTCAGTTTTGTTTTGCTACAAGTATTATGGTACTCCTTTTAAGGTGCATATACATTTATAATTATTGTACAATAAATCTTCACTTAAAGTTGTCCATATGTTCTTGGATATTGTAATTTTAAATGAAATTATGTACAGCAAGTCCTCCAATATACATTGCTTCATTCAATATTGTTTCTTTATAACACTGATGAAAAAAATTGGTTTGTTACATGTCATTTTTCTCAGAGTTACAGGTTCCAAAAACTTGTCAATGATGCTAAGTGAGGACAGACTGTATCTTTCTGATATATTGACCCTTTTGCTATTATGAAATGTTCCTTTTTTTCTGCAGATTGATTATCCCTTATTTGAAATGCATGGCACCAGAAGTTGTTTCAGATTTCAGATTTTTCAGATTTGGAATACTTGCATGTACATAATGAGATATCTTGAGGATGGAACCCAAATCTCAACACAAAATTTATTTAAATTTATTTATATTTTATATATACCTCATACACATAGCCTGAAGGTAATTTCATACAATTTAAAAATAATTTTGTACAAAAGGTTGTGTTAAAGTCTTATGTGTAAAATTTTCCACTTTGGCATCATGTTGGCACTCAGAAAATTATTAGAGCATTTCAAATTTTATATTTTCAGATTAGGTGTGATCAGTCTGTAGTAATATTTCTTTTCTCAAGTGTATATTTTTACCACTCCAGTTATTTAATAAGTAAATATTTAAACTGTAAAGTTTACATAGTATATATTTTACAATTCCTGTATGTTCAATCTATCTGTGTCTTTGAATCTGAACTGTTTCTCTTGTAAATGGCACATACATAGATAATGCTTTTTTGATCAAATCTGATAATCTCTACCTTTTGATTAGTGTGTATTTAGACCATTAATATTTAATATATTTACTCACCTGTTTGGCATTTTGTCTACCTTTTATTTGTTTTCTAAATGTCTCTTGTCATTTTCTGTTCCACCTTTTGTGTTGACAAATATTCTTAGAATTCTATTTTAATTTTTCTATTGATTTTTAAAACATATTTCTGAGTTTTTTTTTGGTGATTGCCATAAAAATTACAATATGCATTCTAACTTACCATGTTCTACCCAAGTGGCTAAATTTCAATTAAATATAGCAACTTAATGCCATTACATATAGCAGTTTTCCTCTCTATTCACCATCTTTTTGCAATTATTTTCAGATATATTATATATAAGTATGTTATAAATCCCAAACAGAGTTTTAATCGTTACAAGTATTGCTTGATAAAATATATGTCTTTAAATAATTATAAGAAGAAAAGAGAAAATATTTTATGCATTTCATATTTCCTCACACTTTTACCGTTTTCTGGCCTTCATTTCTCCCTATGGAATCTGGTTACCATCTGGTGTCATTTTTTTTCAGCCAGAGATACTACTATTAGCATCTTATAAGACAGGTCTCACAGCATTTATTTCTCTCAGTCTTTGTTTAAATAAGAATGTTATTTTTTGGCCTTCATTTTGAAGTTGCTGGATGTAGTGTTCCTTGTTGACTATAATTTTCTTTCAGTACTTAGAAAATTTCATTTCACCACTTTTTGGCTTCTATTATTTCTGTTGAGCAGTTACCATTTTTTGGTTTGTTTTGGTCAACTGGAAAATTAATATGAGAAAGTATTATTTTAAAAAATTCTTTATACAGTCTTCTTAGCCTTATCCAAAAATATTATCACTAAATAAGTGATATTATGACCCTGGAATTAACCATCAATGCATGGTATATAGACAACAAATTATTCAAAGACAATTTTTTTAAAGCAATTATTTTGTACAATGTGCTTGCATGCAATTTTTTTTAACTTTTGTTTTAGGTTTTTGAACACATGTGAAGGTTTTTTATGTGTGTGAAGTCGTGTTACAGGGGGTTTTGGTATAAATTATTTCATCACCTAGGTATTAAGCAGGTACCCAATAGTTATTTTCCTGCTCTTCTCCCTCCTCCCATCCTCCAGTCTTAATTACAACCTAGTGTCTGTTGTTCTACTTTTTGCATTCATGAGTTCTCATCATTTAGCTCCCACTTGTAAGTGAGAACATACACTATTTGGTTTTCTCTTCCTATGTTAGTTTGCTATGGATAGTAGCCTCCAGCTCCATCGTTTTCCCATAAAAGACATATCATTCTTTGTTGATGGCTACATAGTATTCAATGGTGTGTCTGTACCACATTTTCTTTATCCAGTTTGTCACTGATGGGCATTTTAGGTTGATTCATGTCTTTCCTATTGTGAATAGGGCTGCAATGAACATTTGTGTGCATGTGACTTTATGGTAGAATGATTTATACTTTTTTGGCTAGAATGGAATTGCTGGGTGGAATAGGTAGTTCAGCTTTTTACTCTTTGAAAGATTGTCATACTGCTTTCCACAGTGGTTGCAGTAATTTACACTCCCATTAACAGTATATAAGTGTTCCCTTTGTAACCTCTCCAGCATCTATTTTGATTTTTTAATAATGGCCATTCTAACTGGCATAAGATGGTATCTTATTTTGGTTGTTTTGATTTGCATTTCTCTAATGATCAGTAATATTAAGCTTTTTTTATATGCTTGTTGGCCACATGCCTGTCTTCTTTTGAAAAGTGTCTGTTCATGTTCTTTGCTCACTTTTTGATGAGTTTGTTTGTTTTTCTCTTGTAAATTTGTTTAAGTTTCTTATAGATCTTGGATATTAGACATTTGTCAGATGCATAGTTTGCAAATAATTTCTTCCATTTTGTAGTTGATAGTTTCTTTTGTGGCACAGAAGTTCTTAAGTTTAATTAGATCCCACTGGTCAATTTTTGCTTTTGTTGTGATTGCTTTTGGTGTCTTTGTCATGAAATCTTTGCTCATTTCTATGTCCAGGATGATATTGCCTAGGTTGTCTTCCAGGATGTTTATAGTTTTTGGTTTTAGATTTAAGTCTTTAATTCATCTTGAGTTAATTTTTGTATATGGTGGAAAAAAGAGTTCCAATTTCAGTCTTCTGCATATGGCTAGCCAGTTATCCCAGCACCATTTATTGACTAGGGAGTCTTTTTCCCATTGCTTGTTTTTGTCAGCTTTGCTGATGATTAGATGGGTCTGGGTGTGTGGCTTTTTAATTCTGAGCTCTCCATTCTGTTCCACTGATATATGTGCCTGTTTTTGTACCAGTGCTGAGCTGTTTTTGTTACTATTGTCCTGCAGTATAGTTTGAAGTCGGGTAACATGATGCCTCCAGCTTTGCTCCTTTTGCTTAAGATTGCCTTGGCTATTTGGGGTCTATTTTCCTTCCATATGAATTTTAAAATAGTTTTTCTAGTTCTGTGGATAATGTTGTTGGTAGGTTGATAGGAATAGCATTGAATGTGTAAATTGATTTGGGCAGTATAGCCATTTTAATGATATTGATTCCTCCTATTTGTGAGCATGGGATGTTTTCTATTCATTTGTGTCTTCATTGATTTCTTTGAGCACTGCTTTATAATTCTCATTGTAGAGATCTTTGATCTTCCTGATTAGCTGTATTGCCAAGTTTTTTATTCTTTTGTGGCAGTTGTGAATGGGATTGTCTTCCAGCTTTCACTCTTGGCTTGGCTGTTGGTGGTATAGGAATGCTAGTGATTTTAGTGCATTGATTTTGTATCCTGAAACTCTGCTGAGGTTGGTTCCTGACTAAAGCAGCTTTTGGGCTGAGACTATGGCATTTTCTAGATCCATGGAATCATGTTGTCTGTAAACAAGTATAGTTTGACTTCTTTTCTTCCTATTTAGACACCCTTTATTTCTTTGTCTTGCCTGATGAGCAGTTACCTATTAATCATGTATTGATGTATTGTTTTCTGTATGTGATAAGTTGCTGTTTTTTGTACTGCTTTTAATATTTTATTTCCTTCTCTGGGTTTGAACAGTTTCAGTATGATGATGATATGTCTAGGTGTGGATCTCTTTCTGCATTTTAAAATTGGGCATCATTGAGCTTCGTGAATCTATGTATTAACATTTTAAAATAAAATTTGGGAAGTCCCTGTTTATTATTTCTTCAAATATTTTTACTACACATTTTCTCTCTCTCCTATCCTTATGGGAATCCCACTACAAATATTTGGTATGTTGAATGTTGTCCCTCAGGTCTCTGAGGCTCTGTTAAATTTTCTTCAATCTTTTCTTTCTCTGTTCTTCAGGGTGGATAATTTCTAATCATCCATCATCAAGTTTACTAATTTTTTCTTCATGTCAACTTTGGAAATTTCATTTTGTTTCTCTTAAAAATAATTTTAATATTTTCATTGAAATTTATTACTTCAGAATTATTGTCATTATATCTTCCTTTAAATCTTTAAACAGGGATTTCTTTAATCCTTTGAATATATTTATTATAGGTGTTATGACAGCTCTGCCAAATCAAACATCTGAGTTCACTCAGAGTTCATTTCTTTCAACTACTTTTTTCTCCTGCATATGGGTCACATTTTCTTGTTTCTTTGCATGTCTCATTTTTCTTTGTTTGAAATTAGGCATTTTGGGTAATGTATTTAAGAAATTTTGGATTCTGTTTTTCCCCTTAAGAATTTTTATTGCTTTTTGTTTGTTTCAATTTTCTGAACTTAAAAGGGCTTCTAGCATTTACTGACGGATCTTTGTATAGGTTGTTGAGTGCATTCAAAATTTAGATGTTTTTCTAATTTATTCTTACTTTTCTTTTCACTAGGTACTCCCAAATCTTTCTTACATTTATGCACATGTACAATCTTTCTTTCAGCAAAGGACTATGGAGAGCTTAACCTTTCTTAGGTCTTTCCTTTGTGTTCATACAGACTCAAAGTCATCCAAGAATGTGTGGTGAGATTTTTTTTTGGAGGGGTTTCTTCTTCATTTATGTATCACCTTAGCTAGAGTTGTATGCAGAAATTACCTTGTCTATGTATGGTTCTCTTATTTCCAGGATCTCTTTGTTAAATTCCAGGCTAGTCTTTGGTTCTGCCATCTTCCATAAGAGCAATCACAACTCAGAATAGCAAGACTGTATGCTTTTCCTTGTTCGTTTCTACCAATTTTACCATTTTTACTAATAGTCCTGCTAGAAATGGATTTTTTTGGCCTCAGTTGAAAAATAAGCCAGCCCCATCTAGCAGTGAAGTTGCCAGTTTTGATAGCCATCATACCACATGAGCCGTCAGAAGGGAATGGGACTAACAGATTCCCAGTCTTCTTAGCTGACGGTCTACAGTTTTCTATACATAAATACTTCTTAAATTGTTTTTAATCTTGCCTGATGTCCAGAGCTCTTAGATTATTGTTCTTAACAATTTTGTTTAGTTTTACAGTTTTGTGTTTGAGACAGGATTTGCTGACCTCTTTACCATCATTTAAAGATCTGCCCTTCTGACTTGTTTTTAAAGAGTAATAAACTGCAAAAGCCCTGACTTAATTTAACGGGAAATTACTAAGGTAAGTATCGTTGATTAGAGATGGCTGCAGGTTTTTTATACTTCACCTATCAAGAGGTGGTGTCTGTGTCCCTCTTCCCTTGGATTTAGGAGACTCAGTGAAAACTTTGACTTACAGAATACAGCAAATTAACTCTTAGCCAATTTCTGGTCCAGGACTTACGGGATTGATAGCTTTTCCTTTCTTTCACTTTTTAAATCGAAAAATGGCTACTATGCTGTGAGATGGAAGCAACTGTGGAAAATCCTTGTGGAAAGGCATAAGATACCTCGTGGTATCTAAGGTACCAAGACATCTGGCCAATAGTCTCAGCTGAGCACCACCTTGCCAGCCATGTAAGTAAGCCATGTTGGCAGTGCAGCTTCCAAACCTGGTTGAGCTACCACAATTAATCCAGTCTGTAGCAGAGATGAGACTTTTCTGCCCAAATTGTAAATCTGTGAGCGAAATAAATGATGATTGTTATTTTAAATCACTAAGTGTCTGGGTGGTTTGTTACATAGCCATAAATAACTGGAACATTAATTTTCTGCCTTCTTGAGAAATGGGAGTTAGGGATTAAAGCTAAGAACAGTTATTATAAAATCCATTTATCATGTACCTAGCAAGTAAGATTTTCATAGCCACAAAATTGAATTGCAAAAATATAACTTATAAAAAGAAAGTTGTATACATAATGGTTGTTATCTTTTGGAGAAGGTGACTATGATATTGAGGAACGAAGAGGTTCAGCCATGGGATTGTGGAGTAAAATGGGAAGGACATAATGAGAAAGGAAGGAGAGGAAAACAATCAGGTATTTGTCCCAGTTTCTCTTGCCTGGTTTAACTTAGTGACAGGAGTAGTAGCTCTGAACACAGGGGTGAGAATTCTTGCTCTGCCATTAGTTTGATACCCTATGAGGAGGGCCCTGGATGGAACATTTCACACTAGCACTGGGGCTTAACTAGCAGAGTTAGGAGACAAGTGATAATAAAAGGCATAATAAAGGAGAAAAAGAGGCTCTGTTTTCACTTAAATGTCACCTCCTTTTTTTCTGCATGGCCTGACCACTGAGTCAAGAATCAGTAAGTCTCCTCCTAGTGTACAGCAAGACAATAGCAGAGGAGAAGTATGAGTGGCCCACCTAGGCCAAAGACATGATGAAAAATATGGTAAAGTTTCAGCGGGCTGAGAGAGCCCTGGAGACCATGGTATCCAGAAACTGCCTCTGGGCTATGACCAAGCTGAGAGGGAGAGAGACCATGAGTGGCTCTTGTTCAAGAGGTCACAGGAAAATTCATATATGGGGCCAGCAACATTTCAAAGGTCTTAAGTACCGAATGGCAAGCACAGGGAAAAGCCAGGGGATTCCAAATTCTCCATACTATGAGGTCCTGTAAGCCGCTTGTCCACGTACCTTGCCCATACCCCTGTAAGACACTTGTCCAATATAATAATGACTTAAACCATAATGTAGTTGACAACATTTAATTTATACCTTCCATTTTAAAAAGGACTCAAAGAGGGAGAGTTCAGAAATAAGAGAATTTGAGTAATTAACCCAGTAGATTGAGCACAACTGAGGTGTTTATTAAATTAGGTTGTCAACTGCTTTGGATTTTGGTAACTTTCTCATCACATTATCAAGCAGGAGGAATCTTACATAGAAGACCAGAACATTTAGAGATGAAAATATAGAACATACATTTTCATTGCATATCCCAGTTATAATAGGAGCATATTTAAGGCCCTGCATGTATATGGAAAAATGATCTAACTGAAAATTTAACAGTATTTTATATTCTCCTAGAGATATTTCATGAAAAATGAAGTATGGCAAGTATTTTCTTTCACATATTCTTTTCCCAACCACAGTTACCACTCCATAAAATCAAGCCTCAACAGATTGAAGACATAGTTCACTTATTTTACGTAGGAAAAGATTAACAGGGCTTTGTCATACTGAGAGGCAGTAAAATGTAGTAGCTAAGAGTATAGGCTCTGAGGCTAGAATGCATCAGTTAGAATTCTAGCTCTGTCACTTATTGATCAGATGCCACTTATTGATTAAATGTCACTTGACCTCTCTGTGTCTCAGTATTCCTCATCTGCAAAATAGACGCAATAAAAGTAGGTCTTAATGTTGTGATTACTAAACAAGTTAAAACATTTGAAGTGCCACATATAGTAAGCACTATAATTAAGCTTTGTTGTTACTATTATTTGTTGATTGATTCATTTAAAAACCTGGTCTCATTGAAATTGCAGCTTGACTTTTCCAATTCTGAAAGATGATGGAAAGAGTTGAATAAGAAGGACATGACCAACTTGTGAGAGAGTCCCTGAGACTGAAGAGAGAAGAGGGTAGGGAACATGTAAGTGGTAGCCTGTTTATTTCTCCTTGGTGCTGCCAGTTTGATGGCAGGACACTGATGGTGCAATGGCCTGGGGTCAAATGCTTTGTGACCTAGGCAAAGGTTCTAGTGTCAAAATGCCTATGGCAAGAGCAGAGACTGTGAGCAGCGGAGCTGCCTGCACAGCTCTGCATTATAATGGCTTAAATTGGAGAGACTGATACAGGAGCCTTCCAAACGTGAACTGTTTTCTGTTATCCAGGCTGCAGATCTTAGAGCCAGATATAATTTGATTTTATGAATAAGAATATTTAGTTTTTTTAACCTAATATCCATGAGAAAATTAATAACCATTGCTTATAATAATGACTTAAACCATAATGTAGTGGACAAAATTTAATGATGCTTTTAAGAGATCATTGAACTGTGTTCTATATACTCCTATTTTTAGACAGATCTGTTAAATATCGTTAATCAATGTTTTCTTCAAAATAGTTGATAATATAGGTTAAAACATACTGTGGCCGGGTACAGTGGGCTCACACCTGTAATTCCAGCACTTTGGGAGGTTGAGGCGGGTGAATAATTAGATCAGGAGATCGAGACCATCCTGGCCAATGTGGTGAAACCCCGTCTCTACTAAAAATACAGAAAAATTAGCTGGGTGTGGTGGCGCATGCCTGTACTCCCAGCTACTTGGGAAGCTGAGGCAGGAGAACTGCTTGAACCCAGGAGGCATAGATTGCAGTGAGCCAAGATTGTGCCTCTGCACTATAGCCTGTGTGACACTGTGAGACTCTGTCTCAAAAAAAGAAAACAAAAAAAACCAAACAACAAAAAAAAACCATATTGTGACTGAATATTCTCTTAAAATCAATTCAGAAGGAAAGAGAAAGAATAAATATTTCCCTCTTTAAGACTGTAAGTGCAGCCCCTGTGCTAAGTCTCCAGAAGATGTCTGAGTCTGAAACTAAAATGACATCTGTGAAGTTGAATAAAACATCTAACTCAAGAGCTACAGAAAAAATATCATGAGGTAGGAAAAATTCATGTAAATTTGCAAATTCTTAGTGCTAATAGTCTATACTATTGGAAAAGTTTCAATCACTTGCACATTATACTGCCCTGTGCTTTCATTTCCTGGCTGGGAGTGGATTTTCATCAAACTAAGTCATATGGGAACACAGTTCCAGGGAATACAAATCCCTATCCTTATAGCAGAAATTTCTTCTTAACGTGAGAAAAAATATACGAGAAACAGATTGAGTAAGACATGCTCCCAGAGGACATTGGGAACACTATGATAACAAGTTAATACTTACTCTACTAAACTCCAGGAAAATAGTTTACGTCTCTTGAAAGATAGAGGAAAAGCCACTAGTTTCTGGAATAAAAAAACAGCCATTTTTAAGTTAATGAAAGTATAAACTCAACCATTACATTAGTTGTGTTGACAATATACATTTGCAATTACATAATAAGTTGTAAATCCCAATCACACACACACACACACACACACCCCATACACAAGTGAAAGTTCTCAGGAACTTGGTAACAGTCATTCACCAGGAACCTAAAGTAAGGACGCTCAAAGTGCTCTTATGAGCCCAGTTTGCACAAAGTAATTGTGAAATTTTTAAAAGAAAAAATAGAATCCAAGTAGGAATGAATGAGGGCTATTAGAGCATGTCTATGAAAGATCAATATTAGCTGACGATCAACAGTATAAAGTTTAGTAGGGAAATGTAATGTCACAGAACTTCAGACTGGGTTTTACTCTGATGAACATCAAAAAGAGTTTTGTTTGCATTGCATAATTGGGCATCCAAGTGCAACGCTCATACAAATGAAAACTTTGAGAAGAGTTATCGGCATTAACAAAGACGTCTTTTTATCCACTTTGTAAAAATTATCGTCATATAAAGTTATATAAAATTTGGGATAAACTGTCTCATTCTATTTCATCAAAAAACTAGATGAGAGATCATTATTAATGAATTAAGTTTGGTGAGAAAGGGGTCAAATGGTTTTATATAAAATGGTAAACAGGTAAATTATTGATAATGTCATACTGTATATATAATTCTTTATATTTACACTTATTCTTGTGGGCCATGAAATTAATGTATAGTATCTACAAATTGATATTCAGTTATGCTAACAAATAATTTTTTGTTTTTAGAAATGTGAAAGTAAGTAGAATCCTGTCATTGATACATTTTTATTTGTTTGGTTCAAAAAAGGCTTTGGCCTATAATCTGGATGCCTCTAACTACATGTTGAAAGGTATAGTTAGTGCCTAGAAGAAAACAAATAGCCTGATATACACCTATATATTGAAAATTTCAGCGAATATTATAACAGTAAACACTACTACAAAGAAACATTCAATACAAATACTGTTTTTTTGTCTTAAAAGATGATATAAGAACAATGTTTAGTTACCTTGGTTACAGCAAATTCTGTACAGTACGCCATGTTGGTCTCTGACGGAAATTTGTGTATGTATGTTATTTCAGGAGGGAGTAGCAAAGAGAAATTGATATATTTTTACTGATTTTTTCTTCTATTATTAAGTTTTTTTTGTGTAAGCCTGCTTTCGTCGATTACATAAAAATATACTTATGCAAACATCACTGTTCTGCATAAAACTATCATTAGGCATACCTCTGCATACTTTTCAATTACCCCAGACACACAAACTTCTGCCTAAGGAAAGGAAATAAGGAGTTTGATGGTCTGCATAAACTTTGAAAGTGGCAGTAGATGATTTTTTTCCCAGCTGTGGAATATGAGAATTACCAAAATTGAGCTAGAGAGTTATTTTCTCCTTGTATTTCTTCTTGGCCTTAGAAACTGGGAGAAGTGAGTCATCCTTGTAAGACAATGAGGAAAGGAAGTGATAAAATGTAAAAACAAAAAAACCCTCAGAGTCTAGAATTCTCTTTCTTCTACCACAGCTACTTCCTTGGGAGAAGGAAAACTTACATTCTGGCTGCATTTGTCAAGAGTGGCTCCATATTGAGGAAGTAGCTAATCAATGCAATGAAAGCCTGAATTGCCAACAGTCTTGTTTCCTTATCCAAGTGATACTCTGGGTTCAATTCTCTTCACAATAGAAGGAAGCAGGAAAGTGGTTCCTTTCTTCTGCTGCTTCTCCTATCTCCTCATCTTGCAAGTAGCCTGGTGCAAAATAAACAGCAGGAATAATTAGCTGTCTTATATAGTAACCAGTCTCCAATTTTTTCTTTATTTACAGAATTCTAAATCTTACTGAATTATTATTGCGTAATTGGCCACCCTGTAAGAGGACTACATTCTCCAGCCTCCCTTGCAGCTAGATGTGGCTACATAACCAAGTTTTGAACTATGGGATTTGAACAGAAGAGATGAGTATAACTTCTGGGTCACATAGTTAAAGGAAATAATTGTGTCCTCTGTGGCTATTTTCCCTCTTTGTCCTGATGAGAACAAAGGCATGATGGCAAGATCTGAAACAATGGATTTGGACCAGCAAATGGAAGTCATGCATTAAAGATGGCAGAACAACAAGTTAGGAGAGTCCTGGGTTCCTGGTAGTTGTCAGATCTCCTTCCTTGTCTTAGAATGTAATGTTCAAACTTTTCATGGGGGAGAAATAAGCTTCTAACTTACCTAATGCACTGCTGTATTGGATCTCTCTGTTACAGCAATGGAAATTTGATATCACCAAAACTTATAAACAGCAGAATCAGAGCTTCTCAAACTTTAATGGACACAAGAGTCACCTAGGGATCATGTTAAAATGCTGATTCTGATTTAGTAGATGTGATGGATATATTTTATGTATCAGCTTGGCTAACCTATTGTGCCATTTTTGTTGGTCAAACATTAGTCTGGATGTTGCTATGAAGGATGGTAGAAGTGACTAATGTATCAGTTGACTTAAGTAAGGGAGTTTGCCATCAGTGATGTGGATGGACCATTAATGGACCATGATGCACTTCCAACTGAACACCTAAAAAGCAAAAAGCAAAATTTCCCAGAGAAGAAAGACTCCTTTGTCAATACTGCTACAGAGAAATCCTGACTGAGTTTCTAGCCTGCTGGCCTTTCCTGTAAATTCCAGGGCTGCCAGCTCCCACAATTGCATGCATTGATTCCTCAAAATAAGTATCTTCAGACACACACACACACACACACACACACACACACACACACACAATATGTATGTATACATATATACCTGTATATGTACACACATAGACATATATACATATATTTTATTGATTTTGTTTCTTTGGATAACCTTGATTAATGCAGTAGCATAAAGCAAGTCCTGCCGGGCGCGGTGGCTCATGCCTGTAATCCCAGCCCTTTGAGAGGCCGAGGCGGGCAGATCGCAAGGTCAGGAGATCGAGACCATCCTGGCCAACATGGTGAAACCCTGTCTCTACTAAAACATAAAACAATAAGCTGGGCGTGATGGCATGCACCTGTAGTCCCAGCTACTAGGGAGGCTGAGGCAGGAGAATTGTTTGAAGCCAGGAGGCGGAGATTGCAGTGAGCTGAGTTTGTACCACTGTACTCCAGCCTGGCACCTGGCAACAGAGCAAGGCTCTGTCTCAAAAAAATAAAATGAAATAAAGCAAGTCCTGAGAGTTTCTGTTTTTAATTAGTTCCCAATGCTGCTGTTCTTAGCACTATGCTTTGCATGCAAGATTCTAGAAAACTGGTTTTCAGGAAGCATGTGTTTTAGTCTAGACTTTGACAGAAATATGCTGTGAAACCTCATGCATGCAATCCAATATGTGGCTCTCATTTCCTCATCTATGAGATAAGAATGTTGGATTATATAATCCCTGTGACCCCCTGAGGCTCTAATACATGGTAACTTTGTGATCTTGACCCTCTCGCCAAGAGGTCCAGGTGCAAAGGCAACATGGGGATAGAGCTTGTGGCAGGGCAGCCCCCAGAGCTGTATCTAGCTGTGTGGACATCATGCAAGGCTTTCTGGTGCTGTGGCACTGATTTCGTGTGCTGCTACACCTACTGGACATTTGTAAGTTATAAGAGTGGCCATTGAGCTGGTGACATCTTACATCCAGCCACTTGATGCCTGAGAAAAGAGATTCACGCCTGTAATCCCAGCCCTTTGAGAGGCCGAGGCCTAACATGTCAGATCTGGAAGAGAAATCTAAGAGCTTGATTTTCTTTCTTCCCCAGGAAACTCATTTCCCAGCACAAAGGACAGGACAGATCCAATGACATGAAACGACCTCTTTGTCTCATTACCTTACATATTATACATCTGTGTGTTATATGAGTGTAGAATAATCTTACATATTGGAGAAGTATGTCAATGAACCTACTTGTTTACTTCCCAAACCTGGAGTAGGATTTGGAAAATTTTAATAACAGCATCAGTATTTTATTTATTCTTTAAGAACAATAACAAAGAGCCTTAAAATTACAATCTGTCGAAGTTGTGCTTTTAGTTGAAAGCTTTCATGTGCTGTAAACGAGGTTGTGCTGTAGAATACAGGTATTCCTTCTGACAGTAGGATCCGAACCTATTTGTCAGCTTTACTTTCTAAAATCCTAAATTGAAAAAGGGCTTTGTTGTTATCCTTTGGCACCACAACCAAAATGGAGCTATAATCATTCTTGAATGGTGAGAATCTGTTTTCATCTATAATAGGGAACATTTAATCTTAAAACCAATACAAATACATTCAAATGTACAATATAGTCCAGTAGCCACACAGACAATCTTTACTTAAGGGTTGTGTTTCCTTCACTCTCCTGTTGTCTTAAAGCCCAATGATAACATGGCATGTAAAATGGGTTTATTGCATTGTACAAATGCTAATAGATTATTTACTGATGGTGCTTTGACTGGGCTTATATCAATACAATAGCAAAGGCTACTCTAGGAACATATCTGCTCTGGGAACATATATCTATTCATGCAAAGTAAGATTGTATATGTATATACTCCACATATCTGGGATAAATAGGGAGGGAGGCAGAAAAAGCGGAGGTTTGTGTTCATTTCAGTGAGACTACATGTGTGTAAGTGAGCTTTTGCTATGTGTGTGTGAATGTGCATATGTGATATGTACACGTGTTAAGATTGGGAATGGAAAGAAAAGAGTCAATTTCTCTTTCTTGGCATGTGAATTTGAATGTAACCAAGAACTTCAAATTATTTTCTTTTTTTTCTCAGTGTCAAGCACTTTCTCTGCCTCCCTCTCTTAAAAAATTGCCTTAGGAGAGTCTTCTAATAGATGCTACTGTTTTTTATGCCTGAAGGACATGGTTACTAAAAAAGTAAAAAAAAAAAACAACCCAGAAAGCAGCAAAGGCATGGAAGGCATTTGACCAGAAATAGGAACCTCTTGCTGCCTTGGGTGGAAGTATTCTTTCTCAACATTTGGGGTTGAGGACAGAAAAAGAAATAAGGATATGAGAAAAAAAATAAAGGAAAAAAATCTGAGTGGACAAAACTGACACTTTTCTTTATTTAAGCTCATTCGTTTCTATTTTAAATTGTCCCGGAAAGAAAAACAGGATGAAAAGCTTAAAAGAGATAGAACCTGGTGTCTGTGTATTCTACTCTTCACCTACCGTATTAATATAGACCCACTTGCTCTAAAGGAGGTTGACATACCCTTTTATGAACTATCAGTGATATATCAGAAATCCTGACATTCTTCATTCTATGAAATACAAAGAGCACCTTTCATAGTGTGACAGAAAAGCACTGTGGCTGTCTGATTAGTGGTTGTTTGGATGTTTGGTTTTTAAAATTATTTCCATTAACTTTATAAAGAGTTAAGGGTTGAATGACTGTGAAAGAACAAATACATCTAGTTTATCTTTGTTGCATTTTTCTGGCCTATTTTCATTTGTAAAGGAACGACAATATTCAGGAGCTACTGGCAATTGAAATCCCACTTTGAGAACCTTGGCTTAGCTTGAGATAGCTTATGGTAAAAACATCAGGGTTAGTTGTGTTGTTTTAAACTGGTCAGATCATTGCTAACTGATTTGGACAAGGAACTAGCTTCATTTGATGGAAGAATTTATATTCATCTACTCTTGACTGCCTTATTCCTATCTCTGCATTAGTTTACTCAGAATGTGGGATCAGCTGCATATCTCTGGCCCTCTATCGACCCCTGACAATATAATGGACCTATTCTGTAGTTAATTCATGGAGTCTGGTATGGCTCCAGCAGTTTAACAGATGGATCTTTAGTCAGTCTCTTCTCAAACTCTTTATTAAATATTCATAGAGCCAGATTGAAAATAGGCACAGCTTTGCTCCTGGAGATATGCGTACAGACCTCTGGATGAGGGAAGAGCAACCTGGACAGTTCAGGGAGGAGAGACTAAATCTTGTCTTCAGAAAGCTTCCAAAGCACATTGAATAATTGCCTTACCCATAGTAGTGAGATCATGAGTACTCCAGCAGCATTCTATATAGTAAACAGAACATTACCTTGAAAATAGGAAGCTGTTGTTAATGTGGGAAGATAAAGATGCCCACCAGGTTCACTTGTAAATCTGAGTATTTGAAGCCAGGTTTTATCCCGCCATGAGAAAATGTGGAAATGAATAACGGCACCTTTTACTTAAGTAGTATATATATACATATATGAGGAGTTGCCAGGAGAAAGTGTTAACGAGAAGAGTTCATAAAAAATGAGTAGATTTGGGGATTTAGAAACACTTAAAATATCATTCATTGGACATGTAGAGGAAGGTGTTAAAATGAAAATGCCACAGTTGTTCCTGCCTTTGACTAAACTAGGGGGTGGAGGAGGCATGGAAAGGGGTGCTGAGGATATTCCCTTTAGGGAGAGAAGAGCCTTGATGCTCTTAGAGGAGGTAACCTCTGCAGGTCAGATGCTGCTTGAATAAGAGCAAAGGTGATGCTTGTTGGTTTGTAGATCTAGGAAAGACTCTTGCATTCCAAGATGTGCTGTAGTGCTTCTAGAATAAATGCCAAGACCACAACACTCACACTGTCTTTATGTGTTACATAATCATCAGGTTAGAGAAGGCTGCAAGCTTTTGGTCCACCTCCTTGTCTTTGGACGGTTTCCTTTGAAATTGTCCCAAAGACTTAGAGACCTATCCAGGGAAATGTCATTGTGCTGGATCATAACCACATAGTTAATTTTAGTGCCACAAGA